GGGGGGGGTGTTTTCCCTGTTAAATGATAGTGACTTGCTGATTGCATAAAAACATTAAAAACAAATCGCAATCACCTGGCAGTTTCCATGCACAGCTTTGTTCCAATTTAAATTTAACTTTGTTTTTACTGTGTCAAGTTGGGTTAATGAAACAAGACCCCCATTAAATTATAGGTCAGTTAAAACAAAGAGTTAAATACATTTATATTGCATTCTCCACAATATTTAAAAAAAATCAACAATCCAGAAGACTGAGTAGGAACCTATTGGCAGCTGAGCAGACCCAGAAACCGGAAAGAAATATATCACCCCTTTAAATACGAAAGCAATAACATTTGGTTAATAGGCTAAACACATTAACAAAGGTTAGGAATAGGGTTGGGCTTGTGAGTTCGACTCGAACATCGCTAGTTTGTGTGTTCGCAAACAGACAAACTATAAGGGCGTTAGGCGGTCTATTCGACCGCTGAACGCCCCACAAGGCAATGCGCCTTGTGAAGTCCTAATTGGCTAAAGGCTTGCACCTGACCAGAGGTCAGGTGCAAGACTTTGCCCAATCAGAGCTCAGTACTGTGTAAGAGCCATAATTGGGCAAAGTCATTATGACTTTACCCAATCATGGCTCACCTGTCAGATGACGTGAAACTGTACACAGTTGGGCAGCGCTAGCTGTCACCGCTAGCTCTACCCAATTGTTTACAATTTCCCGGCATCTGTCAAAATGCCATTATGCGGCGGGTGTATGTCGCGAGTGGACGGGACGGTGGTCGACGTTTTTTAAAAATTATTATTTCTATTTTTTATTATTTTATTTTTTATTTCGTTGAGTCATCGTTGTCGTGGACAATGCCGGACGTCGTGATTGACCCTGGATTATGTAGATGGATCAGTTTGTTTGGGGGGTTTTTTAACAATAAAGGACTTTTTTAATTAAAGGATTTTTTTCCAAAAGTCTGTTTTTTTATTTAAATTGTATTTAACCCTTTAGTAAATGGGTAGGGGTACTCATTCACATGGGGGGGGAGCGCAACTGGGTGCCCCTTTATTAAAGGGGTACCTGCATGTGAATAAGCCCCCTACCCGCACCCCCACAACTTGTGGGGAAGGGGCCCTTGTCCCCATTGGCCCGGGGACAAGATGCTTTTCCAGGGGTGGCCCTGGGCATGTGGGACCCGAGGGCATGTGGCCTGGTATGGGAGGGAGGGGGCGCTGTCTCGTCCCCCCCATTTCCGGCCCTGCCAGGCCTATGCTCAGATCAAGGGTCAGTTATGGAATTTTAGGGGGGACCCCACGTTTCCCCCCTCACTTTTGGTGTAGGGTTCCTCCTTAAAATCCCTACCAGACCTTAAGGGGGAACCCCACACACTTTTTTTTTTTTCTTACATGGGGTCCGTCCTCAATATTCCTATCAGACCTTAAGGGTCTGGTATGACTTTTGGGGGGAACCCCATGCTTTTAAAAAAAAAAATGTGGTCCCTCCTAACATTCCTACCAGACCTGAAGGGTCTGGTATTGTCTGAGAGGAGGAGCTGCACACTTTAAAAAATGTGTTTTATTTCTTTAGCAATGTCAGTTTTGCTGCAGCTGGTTCTATACATTGTACAGATTTTCCACTTTACAGGCAGGTTAAGGGGACCCCCCCAAGCATGATATTTAAAGGATTTTTTCATTTTTATTGTAACCCTTTAAGTGACGTTAAAATCACTGCTCCTTTAAAAACGGTATTTCTTAAATGTTTTTTTTCCATTGATTCCTGTCCACTTTTTATGGCCAATAACTTGCATATAAGCCCTCTTAAAGGGGACAATTGATTTTGAAAGTTCTACCCTCATAGAAATGCATTGAGTTCAAATTCAAATGTTTTGGATGTTCTAAAGTTCAAATTTGAACCGAACTCGGACCTGTTCGGCTCATCACTTGCAAATTATATGCTAGAGTATTAAATTAGTGGACCAGTCTTACTAGGCTTCTATACTAATAAAGAAAATATACAAGAACGTGCATAATGTAAAATGGGAAATACTTTTCTTTGCACACAGACTTACCACAAACTACGCTCTTGTTTCGTATAATCCATAAAATCAGCGCTGTAGCAAGCCATATCGTTGGTATCGCAACTCCAGTTGCAATATAGTCGTTTTTACATATCTCAACTGTGCCTGCAAGTATGTGAAAGTCATTAAATAGCTGATGGTGTCAGCAATATATAAAAGTGTTATTATAAATCATTACACAGAACTTACACAAATCATATCTTGCATACCAAAGGTTCTCAAAACTGTCCTTAGGCCTTACTGCTAGTATGTGTTTTGTGTAGAATGGAGGAGTGAAGGGGTAATTTAAAGGCGATGGGTAGGTACAGTGTATTAAACACCTAATAATAAAAGGCTATCTGTACCTGAAATGTTGTCCAGTTTTGGATCTGTGATGATAGAATAAATAAGATAATTTTGGAGTGGTTGCGATGTACTCCCAACTTTAATTTTTGGACTGATCTTGTTTAGGAGATCCTTATAAAATGTATGGGCTGTAAGTCCTAAAGACAAGACTGAAACCCTTTGTTGTGGAAATTGATAATACCAGTGTGTACATAAACATGCATATCAAAACAAATCTCTTTAGGGCTTGTTCACAGCATCTGCGGACCAGATTCAGACCAGAACGTTTTTTATCTAGATCAAAAGCACATACACAGTAATTCCAATGGTAAAAATGAGGCTACTTCACAACAATACGTTCAGTTCCAGAACTTTAATTAAAAAAAGTATAACATGCATGCTGCATTTTTTTCTAGTCTGGAACACACACAAACACATGTAAACACACCAGAATGCACTGGAACGCACCTAAAACCAAAGAAAAAGCAATTGAGACAAAAAACGCACCAGAACGCATCAAAACATGCATGAACAACCATGTTTGCAGAAACACATCCAGATCTGGTCTGTAGATGGTGTGAACAAACTTTTAAAATTACTTAAAGTGGACCTTTCACCAAGACGCAAGTTTTGTTTATTTGATCTGGGTAAAAATGTAAAAATCACTGCATATAGGTAGATTAAATGTGTACCTCTAAGTAAAAAAGTCAGGTAAACTTACCTTAAACAAAAATTCTGGCCATATGAAAAATTAACCGTTGCAGTAGGACCACACCCGCACTGCAAGGATTAGGTGCTCATTTTGGTCTAGGCTCACCCAATCCTCAGTCCCATGTGGCTGCTAGACTGGTCCCTGCAGCCTCTCTCCCCCTCTGATCTGGCACTCTAAGGAACCCTGAGGCATCACGTCAGTGTATACAGTGTATTAGATGTGAGGACGCTGTGTTTTGCAGACAGTATGAACCAGCTACGACTAAGGTCTAACTCTACGACTAAGGTGTCTGAAAGGTGTTAGTGGGTTTATGATGTGAACTGTTCATCTGATATTTAATAAAGGATCGGAACATAAAGATGTTTGCCAGTACCTGTTATATTCGTTATAAACTCATCTTAGTCCTGTGTCGCCTAGGACAGGGTGACAGCTTGCTCCCTCCAGTGAGATTCCCTGGCATTGGATGGAAGTGTCTTTTTACAATATTTGGGGTACTCATTGTTCCCAGGTGGAGGGAAATTGATGGTATCCTTCAATGTGGAAGGCACGAGTAAGGTAAGTCACTTTTTTCCTTACAGATACAGTTAGTAAAGTAAGCTACGGATATGTAGTGATTTTTATGGGGATGGGGACCAGGATCTAAAGTAAGAGTAAGAGGTAAGTAAAAATACAATATATATTATATTATCATATAAATACAGTACGTACGTACAGTACGTATGTACAGTACAGTACATCCACTGTACTGTACATACAGTACAGTACAGTACAGTGGATCTTTAGCCAAAAACATTTTTTGCTAGTTTTGAACAGAGTGGGTGTTAGAATACACATTACTGTGTTTATAGCAACAACTTCTGCAGTATACAATTTCGGTTACTAGATGGCAGTGTTTATAAGTTCTGTTATATACAGTATCTATGGTATGCTCTGTTGTATTGAAAAAGGTAGAGAATAAGACTGTGGCTTCCTTCCTGTTTCCATGCCATGTTGTCAGGGTTCCACCCTGACTTATCTGGTTTGCAGCATTCTGGCTTGGCTGCCATTTTACCCACCTGTGATTCCTCCTTTGCCTGAGCAGACTCTGTAGTGTTGCTCACTACTTCCAAGCTCCCTCTTATGGCCAAACAGGAGAGCATCATCTGAAAGAGCCAGATGGGAGTTTCCTTTCTGAGTTATGATGTCACCCCACTCACTATATAAATCACTCAGTCCAGTGTGACCTTGCCCTTTTGGGGTCTTATCTGTTAGTGCATGTCTGCTGTTCTAAGTATTCTGATTCTGTGTATGACCCGATCCTGGCTGACGTTCTCCTCTGGTTCCTGCTCCTGGCTTGTTCCTGACGATGCTGATCTCCGTGTTCCTGACCTGGCTTGTACGATTATAAATCTGTTCTTCATAAATATTTTAACTAGCACATTATGCTTGTCTGGTTTTCATTGTGCTCTGACATTACGCAAGGGCCATGAATCCGGACGGTGCTAGTGTAAACCCTAGTCCCTCTCCGTTGCAGACTTTTTTTTACCAGGCTTCATTCGCAGGATCAAAGAATGGTGCGGTTCGCTCAGGCCCTGCAGGCCCTGCTCTCTCGCACGGCTCATTTGGACCCAGCTAATGCCTCGCCTCCGGGCCCTGCCACCACCCCTGCTTGTCCTTCCATTGCTCCTGAGCCTACCCCTGGAAGGGGCATGTCGGGTCAAGCTCCCTTACCCCAACGCTACGGGGGTGACCCCAATCATTGCTGCGGATTCCTGAACCAGGTGGGAATCTATTTTGAGTTGGTTCCGCAGGCTTTTCCTGGTGACAGGGTGAAGGTCGGGTTCTTGATATCCTTATTAATGGATAAAGCATTAGCGAGGGCTAATCCGCTTTAGGAGAACGATAAGCCCATTATTTTAAACTACAGAGAATATGTGGCCTCCTTCAGACGGGTATTTGATGTGCCAGCTCGATCCCTCTCTGCCGCTAAACAGCTTATGTCCATCCGGCAGGGTGTGAGAACTGTAGATTCTTGGGCTTCGCCAACTATTATCGCAAATACATCAAGAATTTCTAAACTCTGGTCAAACCCATCACTGACTTGACTAAGAAGGGTGCGGATCCTTTTTTCTGGTCTCCAGCTGCTGAACAAGCCTTTGAAAAGTTGAAATTGGCTTTTATCACTGCACCAGTGTTAGCCCACCCTAACCCGGCTTTGCCATTTTGGAGGTGGATGCGTCTGACACAGGAGAGGGCGCCCTCCTGTCTCAACGTTCTTCACCCAGGACCAACTTCATCCTTGGGTGGGTTCTTTTCTAAGAAACTGTCTCCGGCTGAGAGTAAGTACGAGATTGGCGACAGGGAAATGTTTGGCGATTATCTTGGCCCTCAAGGAATGGTGGCATCTCCTTGAGGGGACCACTGTTCCAGTGTTAATACTCACTGACCACAAGAATCTCACTTATCTCTCGGAGGCCAAACGACTATCCTCCCGTCAGGCCAGATGGGCCTTGTTCTTGTCTTGTTTCAACAACATTGTTTCTTATTTGCCTGGGTCTAGGAACATTAAGGCTGACGCCCTGTCCCACCAATTTGACGTACTGTCCAAGGAGGTTACTGAACCTGTTCCTATTGTACCTCCTAATTGCATTCTTGCCTCAGTACGCTCCAGTTTGACGTCACCTATGGGGGGACAAATTTTGGTTGGTCAGTCCGATTCTCCTCCGGGGAGACCGGTGGGAAAGTGCTTTGTACCAGTAGACCTTCGAACTAAGCTCCTTTCCATATACCACAATGCCAAAGCTTCAGGCCACTGAACCAGGTGGGAATCTATGATTTGGTCTGTGACTAGACAGTTTTGTTGGCCAGGGATCCGTACTGACATTTATGATTTTGTAGCCTCTTGTCAGGTTTGTGCTCAGTTCAAAAACCCCCGCCACCTTTCTGTGGGATTGTTGCAGCCCATCCTGAATGGTGAGTGTCCCTGGACGCACTTATCTATGGATTTTATTGTAGACTTGCCTAATTCTAAATGCCACAAAACTATCCTCATGGTGGCAGATAGATTTTCGAAGATGATTCATTGTGTTCCTTTAAAAAAACGTCCTTCTGCCCATGAGCTTGCCATCATTTTTGCTAGGGAGATCTTCCAATTGCATGGGGTACCTCGGGTCATTGTCTTAGATAGGGGCAGCCAGTTTGTCTCTTGGTTTTGGCATGCCTTCTGTGCTCAGTTGGGGATTCAGCTTTCCTTCTCCTCGACTTACCATCCCCAGTCCAACGGTGCTGCAGAGCAGGCTAACCAAGCCTTGGAGCAATTCCTAAGGTGTTACATTTCAGACCATCATGACAACTGGTCGGACCGGTTACTGTGGGCAGAGTTCGCTCATAATAGCCACGTTAATACCCCCACTCGCCTTTCACCCTTCCTGGTGAACTTTGGGTTTCAATCTGCAGTGTTGCCCGATTCGTTCCGATCCCAAAGGTTACCGGCTTTGGAGGACCATCTTCAAGAGCTCCGCTTCACATGAGTACAGGTCCAGGGGAGTCTTCGACGTGCAGCTTGAGACCAGAAGCACCAGGCTGATCGTAGACGTATGCCTGCTCCATGCTACCAGGGCGGGGAGAGGGTTTGGCTATCCTCTCGCAATTTGCATCTCCGGGTTCCCACCAACAAGCTGACTCCCCGTTTCATTGGACCATATCGTATCCTTCGCAAGATCAATCCAGTAGCTTATACTCTAGACCTCACTAAGTCCATGCACATTCCCAATGTTTTCCATGTCTCACTCCTTAAGCCAATGATCTGTAATCGCTTCATTTCTGCTGCCCGTCCTAGACCCGTCATAGTCAATGTTCATGAGGAGTACGTTATTCGCAGTATAATTGATTCCCTGTATACAAACGAGGGATAGGGGGCTAAACATCTGTATATACATATAAATACAGCTCTTGGGTCTCCTATAAATATTCAATACAATTAATATTTCTCTCCATAAGGAGATCTCATTAAAAGCAAAAAATCATATCAATTATAAATAAA